AACATTCCATTTGTACAAATACGAAATGCCATAAACAATGAAGTGTATTTTTTTAATAAAGATGGCGGATAAGGCAGCTGCCTGTGTTGCCAGCTTCGTCCGTTATCGCGCTGCAGAGACATCAAGATTTATTCCTTAGGACAGGACGTGGCCGGTACAAGGAAATGTTTATCTAGCTCTTCGCCACTCGATGTTTTTGTTGAGCCACGTCCATGCCAGTGCCGGCTGCAACTCGCTATGGTTTTTACAAGCCGGAACGCTTAATGAATTTCGTTCAGTGAAGTTGATATCGTGGAATTGTTGCATAAATTTAACGATAGTTCTCATTTTAAGTACAATAACTTTTTTTTATTAATGACTAGCTTTTTCCGCGCGAAATAAAAAGAAACAAAAGCAAGTAGCCTATGTGTTCTTCCAGACTATACTCTATATCTATGCCAGATATCATCGAGATCTCTTCAGCCGTTTAGGCTACAAACTCTAACAAACATCCATCCAAACTTTCGAATTTATAATATTAGTAAGAAGTAAGATTAGTAAGATAGAAACTAACTTTACATACATGCAAAGAAAGCTATCTTTTATTTTGTAAATACGTGATTATTAAAGCAGTATTCTCTATTAAATTTTATCATGTAAATATTAGATATCGCTGCTTGTAAATGAATAAAATACATGCAACAATGTACGCAAAACATTTGCTAGTGTATTGGTCAGAGAGGGGCAGTGGAATCGAACCTGCGATATGTTAATGCATGTCGGATCGTGACACACGACGTGCGTCCGTCGCGGCCCCGGCGCGGGCACGACGTGGACACACCGCCGATTGCCGCCAGATAACTTGTACAAGGTTTTTGCGATGCCCACACATCTGTCCAAGCCATTCGCTGATAGTATTGCGGCAGTCAATAAAAATCACACATCTATTTAGATTTCATAATGAGAATCAAAGTCAGATACAATCTAACACAAAGCATTCAATTAGTGGAAAGTATTATTTTACTTAATTTAGGGACTAGTAAACAGATAAATTATTACATTTAAAACAAGGATTATAATACTAGAGTCATTGTACGAATAAATGTTCATATGCTCCTATTAAACACCTAGCGATATTATCATGCAACTCGACGGCCATATGATAGATGAACGCAACTTCCTTACACAACGCATTCAAATAAATCAAGATGGCTGCCCCGATAATCTATGTCTTCTTTGTCACTCAACCCTTTGTGGGGGATTTTTATTTTTTTCTCTGGCAACACTATACTAATGGCGCGCGTAACAGTTGTATTGACGTTAAGTCGACAGCGCATAGATATTCTTTTGTCTTTACCGATATGACATCGAATGTTTGAGTGGACCCTTAAGACATTTTTGTTTTTTTACACACCGTTGAACGAATGTTTGATTTTAATATGTTGATAACATTGGGTCGTGTTACGATTTCACACATACAAGAAACAAGAAACAAATTTTTAGAGTTGACTAATTGTTTTAATTGATAGACGGAAGAACAAAATATTTGATGTTATTAGTATGCCTACAGTAAATTGTTTTCACGTGTTCTTTGCGTTAATGCTTGTTTAATTTGTAAGGTATCCATGTATATTTTCTAACATGTAATAAATCCATCTTTCCTCTAATATTGGGGCACAAAAATTGTTATGCAAATTACAAGCTGTATAACTTCCACTTGGAGGAGGTGAGCGTGTAATCCGTAAATGTCTTTAGTTATTCATAATTTGATACTTATCATTCACTTATCGCTGTATGTATGTAATCTAATTGTAGGAGTGGCATGGAGTATAGGCGATCGGTCAGCTGCCTCAGATGGATATCGATTCGATAGTGACGGCTCCAATGCACGACTATTTTAATTGGGTTCCGATCCTCCATCTGATAAATGCAAGGACAAGATGGCGGACATGTTTTATTTTTCTGTGAACACGTGTTCAATGACTGTCAATTGTTTTTTTTGGTAATAAAGTTGCATGAATGTGAATAATATTTCTGATAGATAAAATCAAACTCTGCAATATCTATTGTTATCCCAATACTATTATTCCTACTACCTATAAGACCACTCTACTCATGGTGCGGTGTTATTGAAATGCAAGTTTCAAACAGAAGTGTACCAGCTAACTCCACTGTATGTTCAGCTTGTCATTTAGGATCACAGATTTGGTCACCGACAGGAGAATTAAACATTTTCTAAGCTAGCAATTAAATAGCTAGTTTCTTGTCACAGTATTTCCGTAACTCGACAAACGTTCCTTTGATCGCAAAGAGTCCATAATAATCATATATCGCGCTGCCTAGTTTCTAGTCGCAGCAATGCGGGCCCTTGAGGCTTAAACAAAACAATACCGCGAGTTGCGTGCCTCTCGCCCTCATGCCGCGCCCATCGGGCCCGCCATTATTTGACATGTTTATAAAGACAAAAGCACCCAGATGAATATCATTTAACGAATCGACGTTTGGTTTCGCGAGCATTGCTTAAACGACACCGAGTCACGCCATCTATCTGATTCAACATTCAACCTTTCCTAACGATCACAAGTTATGACTTATTTAGCGAAAACGGGAGCCTGAACGCAGCTAACGAACCGATAAACTCGCGTTTGGTATGACGCCAACGTTAAAGCGCCAGATAGAACGCATTAGCCAGACCAATCACACGTCGCCCACGAATCGTAACGACCAATCAAACGGCGCGGCGACTAGGATAGCGTGACCCGAACGCAATCCGATTTAAGTCGTATTCGTTACCGCGAGATGGCGGTCGCCGCGTGCGCCAATCGCCGCGTCCATCTCGCTGTCGTGCCCATATAATGATCTTCACAGGGGCAAGAGAATGAAGTTGAGCCTCTCATTAATTGGCGTTTTGAGCTGAGATCGCTGCGCGAAAGATAGGTTAATTCCTTGCTCGGTCGAGATCGTTGTCGCTCAAAAAGGAAGGTGAGCGAGCGTTTTCTGGAAATCAGATCCAATTACAAGAGGGCCCGTTAAGTTTTTGTTCTGTTTGGCCGCAGGGCGAGGGCGCGCTCACGCCCGCGATATTGACTGACGAGCATCGTTACTGCCGGCACGCGCGATGGATCATGCTCAAAATATTGGCAAAATCGTTCAATGTTTACATTTCATGAATTTCCGAAAGGGCCAATCTCCCCACCCACGCCGCAACATTTACATACCGCGAGCACGTCTCAATTAGGAGCGCTAATGTATGCCTCGACTGCGCGAGCCTCGATCTGACTGACGTCGATAGATAACAAGGAAAACGTGACGAGTGACGACTATCGCGAGCCAGCTACTGCCAACCTAGCATCACTAGGCTATTAACAACGCTAATAGGAACAGATATTGCCGACTCTTTTTGTTCCAGTACTCAGGATTCCATTTGCATCTTCGCACGATATCTTTAAATTATTCCACAATTTGAGATATTGCTTTTTATTTACAGGTGAAGACGAGGAATGGGGAAACGAGAGCGAGGCGATGCCTGGGGAACCTCGTACGCCGAGTTCGGGAGAGGAGAAGGCAGCCTCCAGCGGGGGCGCATCGCCCGCATCGGGGAGCTCGCCCG